ACCAGTCTCGCTTCTTCAACTAATAAGTAGTAGTAGGAATAGCCACCATCGGACTGTTGACTTGGTACCTTCCCAAACGTTTCCCAGACATCATAGTCGGCATCGTCAGTGAGCTGAGACAGTCTTTGAACAAAGCTACAGTTCGTCAAAGTTACAAGCATTGTATCCTTTTTCCTCAATGACCACGTCAATGGCGACTTTACCTTGGTACTCCTCTGGGTATTCTCGTTTGTTCCAAGTGGACTTAATGAATCGCAATCGAATTCATTTCCAGCTCCGCATCTTATCTGCAGTGCGCAGCCATCCACTTCACCCACCGTTCTATCATCTGTTTCTTGGGTAAAGGTAGATATGAATGGTGATCGGGAAGCTCAGCAGAGAAGAGCCAAAACCGCTGGAATCTACCTGAAGTGACGCACCATCAGGAGACATTTGATCAGGCGAAGAAACAGGAAGATGTAGGAAGTTTAAGTTGCTACTTGATTTAGAATTGATATATATTAATACAGTTTAAAAGTTAGGACAAAGAGGGAGGAAAAATGCTATAAAGGTTTAACAGAAAATTGGCAATTTTTCGATTAATAGTAGATCTGCAATAAAATTGGGTTGCTTGGTTAAGTTTAGGGGAATCTCGTGGTTTACAATAGCTGAACTTGAATTGTTATTATCTTTAATATGGTTGTAAAAATGCTACCCTGCTCTATTGATGCTCGGCATGCGACGGATATATGAAATGTATTCACTCTACTTCGCCAAAATGATGAATTTAGTTGAATTTCCTCCCAATTATATGAGCAGACCTTACGCTTTCTGTGAATTTAACTTAGCCTTGTTTCTCAAAAGGGGTTCTCATCTAGGCCGGAGTGGACGGCAGTTTCGACCTCGCCTTGGTCTCATCAACGTACCCAGCGGGACTTGAGCCATGACAATTCAGCGCGTAATCTCGACACGCCAACCACTACGCCACACTGCTACGAGTACCCTTGGGTTACAGGGCAGATGTGAATTTCAAAGAAAGCCAGGCATTTTCCAATATCATATTCTGTGGTGGGATTGTCAATGAAGCAAAGATGTGATTGCTATATCAACTGACTACATTACTTAATTTTCGTTTTATATGTAGGTTTTAGAGACTACCCGTAGATGATATATATGAGATTTATTTATCCTCATCTATATGATCTACTGGTATTTCGAGAACCTACTTAGCAACTAAGAATATATAAGGTATTATATTGCCATTACAAATGTCACTTTGGTTCATCGGCAATCCCACCACAGAATATGATATGGAAAAATGCCTGGCATTCCTTGAAATGCACATATTCTCTGTGACCTAAGGGCAATCGTGGCAATGCAGCATAGGCGTTAACGTGTCAAGATTATACGCTAAATTGTCATGGTTCGAGTCCTGCTTGGGGTGTTGATAAGGCCGAGGCGAGGTATAAACTGCAGTCTACTTCGGCCTGAATGAGAATCCCTTTTGGGAAGCAAGGCTGTAAAATTGAATGGTAACGTAAGGTCTACTCATTTAATTGTGGTAGAGTTAACTACCAGTCCTTTATCACTATGACGAAATAGAGTGAATACGCTTCATATATATGATCTACTGGTATTCTCGAAAACCAACTTATAAACAAACAAGTAAGCTTAGCATGTTTTCAACTTAATCGGAAGAGATTGCCTTGGCAATAGCATCAACAAGAATGCTAAGCCAAAAGTTGACCGCCTTATTATTCTGGTTGGATCGACTTTCGAATCTCTTCTTCACACACTTCCACTCGCAATGGAAATGTGCCTAACACTTATCCTTTTGACGAGTTGTAACTTGGTGCCAAGGCTAAAGTTGTTCACAGATGATGCCAACGAGTCGCCTGGGTATGTACAAAGGTGACGGTCGAATCCTTATAAATTATGATGACTACTACTGGCTCCATCCCCACAACCAAGTTGAGACAACTAGGCCAAACCAATCCTACGAATATTCCAGCTGAGCAAAGACTGGTTAGTATTAGTCTGTAAAATTCACTTGTCTCGGCCTTATGCTACAAAGTGTCCTTAATTCAACATCACAGTCGTTGGTTCCAGAGTGTGAAAGGTGAAAAAGGTTGATCTCAAACGACCACCACAAATTGTTCCAACCTTTTAATAGTACTACAATGGGCTCTCCTGCGACAGGTGGTACTGCCGAAGTGGTTGGGATTCGTGCAGGACATGCTTTATTTGACTCTGCACAAGCTCCCTCTGATCCCTTTCAGTCTGGCAGCAGAGGTTTGGCGCTATTCCAATTTCTACGCCGTCGGCCGGCCAGTCAGCCAAACCACCACTTTATTCACGGAAAAGCTTGCAGCCTGTCCTCCATGAAGTCTTGTTGTCTGTGGCAGCTACTGATGGCCACCTTCCAGGGCGTCGATTGGTCCAGCTTCTGTCCGGACCATCAGACCACGGGTGAGGCGAGGGCGAGCTACTTTTCGCCTGCAGTCTACCTTCAATGTGTTATAGGATTTGAACTTTAATTTTGAAGGAAAATTCGGTTGAAGGTAAGTCGTAAATTAGTTTCACCCGAAACGGAAAAAGAATTATATTAGATGTGTTCATCTTATTTTGATTAAGGTGAAGGACTGATAGTTGAATTTTCCCACAATTATATGAGTTGACCCTACGTTTCCATTGAATTTCTCATAACCTTGCTTCCCAGAAGTTATTCTCATCCAGGGTGGACTTCAGTTTCCACTTCTCATAGGTCTCATCAATACCCTCAGCATGAGTCGAACCGTGATAATGCAGCTCATGGTCTCGATACGTTGGCCAATACATCACACTGCCACCAGATTCCTTGGGTCACAGGGCAGATGTGAATTTCAAGAAAGGTCAGGCATATTCCAAATTACATTCTTTGGGGGGATTGTCGATGAAACAAATTATATTTGTTATGATAATTGAAACCCTACTTACAAACGAAGGAGGATTGTTTGCTTTGAAGTGAAGACTGTCGGATTGTGTGAAGAAGTCCTAAACTCACCCTCTTCTGACAAGGATAAATTCGTGCTAAGCTATCGTCTTTCATAGGATAGACGTTGTCAGAGCATAAACCATACTGTGGCAAAAGGAATAAAACTAAGTTTTTTCCCATTTATTGTAGTTGGTTTTGTAGATGATACCTATAAGGTATCACAAAGGAAAAAGTGCGCATAATTTTGAAGATATCCCCTACAATTGGTTCAGTTTTCAGCCAAAAATGGGACCTAATTGGAGAAAATGTTTGCCTCAAGCAAAGTTCACAGAAGGAGCTCAGAAGTGTATGAAGGCCGTTGGTTTGGACAAGTCCGAATCTTCCACATTCAGCAGGCCTTCGAGGACGTGTTCTTCAAGGGGATTAGACATACCCAACTTGAGATAAATTTGTAGAGATTTTGCAAGTAAAAGTAAACATAAAAACTTATTCATGTTGGCCTGATTTGATTTTAATTTCCCTTCATGGACAGATTTGGCTTTAGCTTTTTTACTAAACTTGGCAATCATTCTAGGGAGACGTGAAATGTACCCTATGCCGGTCATAATTAACGCGCTGGTACTGAAAGGACAAATAAGCGGAGGACATGATACGTTCTTTGAAGTATCTTAGTAAAACGGCCAATTTTATAAGACAAGAGTAAGGAAATATTTTGATTGACCTATCATTTAGTATTTAAAATGAGGTTTGTGAGTATCGGTTTGAGGGTGGGAGCGCTACTCCTAGAGTCCTTTGAACAAAATGAATACGTGCTAAAATGATTTATGAAATTTCCAAAATAACTAATCAAGAGTTGCCCAACCAACATAACATAAGGTGGAAATACAGTTTGAGGTTCATCGTCAGTGTGAGTATAGGACATAAATAGAAAGGAACAATATATACAGAAAAATTCAACTATACAGGAAATATCTGTCGGTACCGTGTTAAATACTTGGAAGCTAGGCTATATCAACCCCCTTTTACAATCTTCTGCATCTGTATCTCATTGAGAAAATTTAAGTTGAGAAAAGATACACTTACCTTTGACATGAAGATAAGATTGATTTCGAACAAGCTGTCAATAACTGATGTTGACGTAGCTTTGATCTCGTCTGAAAAAACGTGTGGAAGGTATTCGTGAATTGACAACGCCGGAAATCGAAGGAGGATTGTCGTGGAGTCGTCTTCTGGATTGTGCAAAAAAGATCTCTGCCCACCGTCCTGTGGCCATGAGGGATCCGTGCTGAGTTTTTGTCTGTCATGTCGTAACAGGCACAATCATAGTCAGAAACCACTTTTTACAAAACAATTAACATAAAACACAAAACCAAGAAGGGCTGCCGGCTGAAATCTTACTTTAGATACCTAATTTTGTGTTCATAATGCAGCCTTCCGTGATTTGTAACTAAGCGAACCTAGAAGTCGACATATGCATATAAACAAGATCTTATTCACCCTGGATTGCTTAAGGTGAAGTGAATACTGATATTTGAGTTTTCCCATAATAAGATTACTAGGCCTCAAAATCCCATTGAATTTCACTTGACCTTGCCTCCTATAAGGTTCTTTCAATCAGGGTGAATGCAATCCAGACCTTGTCTAGTTCTCAATAAAATTGTAGGAAAATTCAATTATCAGTCCTTAAGTTATTCTAAGCAAGCCATGGAGACAAGGTTCTTGTTCAATAATTTCCGATATTTTTGAAACCTATTCCCATCGAAAATATGCGCCTACAGGCGAGCAAACTGTGATTCCGAAGCCCTACTTCATTGTCTTATCAGAATCTTATACACACGTTAGTATGTTTATATCACATCAAAATTAGAGGTTGTTTTGGCTTTTCAAGGCCTTTCAGTTAAATATGCTCAGCAAAATAAGAAGAAGGTCTGATATTGAAGAGATTTTCAGGAAAGCTTTCATCAAAAAATTGCTTTCTTATTCAGGCTGTATGACAATTTCATTACAGGTTCATGGCAGACGTTTTTGCCACTCGATCGCTAACACATCATATCTGTCTCAGACAGATTAGAGAGAAATGGAGTCGTTTTTTTAGCAAGAAATTTGATCGATTTCTACACCAGTTTCCACTGTTATGGCATAGTAACATATCCTTATCCTCATTTTAAACCCTAGATATTTCTTAGCTCAATTCATCCAGTTCCAAATGCTTGAGGCACTCTACCGCCGACAGAACTCTACCGGTCCTCTGCACACTTGCCAACTTACAGATGAATATGCTGGCAAGGCAATTTAGAGTGAGTTGCAGCTCCTAAAGGTGTCTGTATGTGCAAAGGGGTGAGATTGGGAATTACGGTATGCAACAGATATCACAATTAGATAGATTAGCCAGCCGCTATCTCCAGGTAACCTATCACTTAGCTAAATGAGAGTTGGAAATATACTTTTGGTCAGGTAAGACTTGCTTTTCATCAAAAATTCCGTATGAAGTGACGGCAATTAGTCGAGCTTGAGCCTTGAGGCTTTATGCATCTAATCGAAAAGCTTAATGCTATAGAATCGGCCCAAACCTGAGGGCTGACGAGACCTCATCGAGATCGAGAATGCAGTCCATCTTCAATTAAAATTCTTATTCGTTGCTTGACACAGGCAAAATGAATGGCAAAACAGGGAGCATTCTCCACCTCATTGTCGGTAGCCTGACTATCCATGCCTGTCTCAACAAACGAACAACGGTACTACGAAAAAACGGTCTTAACTGATGGCTAGATTTACTTCCCTATTACTCTTCCTAACCTCGAGGTTATACCATATTTCATTGATGCAACAGACTATATAGTCTCTGAATCACTTCTATTCTTCATATTAAATCAATATGAGGGTTGTGGACGGCTGAAAATTCCAAAATGAATCAATTCCCCAAAACTCATAATGAGGGATCATTGAGTTTAACGTTCCAACCTTAGTTTTGCAACTATTATCAGAAAGAAAATTTAGAAACTAGCCAACATATGCTAGCCTCTTATAAACATCTCTTCCTAACTTAACCCCTTCTCTAATAACCAAAAAATCCAAAAAGGGCAAGGATCTATTTCAATTGTGAACCTAGTGTTCCTTTCACGCTTGCCAAGTAAAAAGGATGAAATTATCTCAGCTTTCTTTATCATGAGGCCAGCTGAATTGATAGTCATCCAAGTATCTAAGTGAAAATTTGTTTGTTAATATTGCCTCTTCCAATACGCGTTTTTCTAGTTTAGCCACGCATTTGTTCGCCAAGATGAGAGCTAAGCAAGATCCCATTAAAGTCATTTAGTCTGTTCATAAACCATCCCGTCAAAAGTGAAACAAGTGCTACTCATGGATGGGCTAGGAAGGCTAAGGGTGGAGGCCATACTCAACCTTATTCCGTGTATACAGGTTGTTTGACCTTGTTTTTTCAACATGGTCATATTGGTAGGAAGACTTATTGGAATCCACCTAGTCCGGGGTCCATTGACTGCATGATCATTTCCAAAGTTGAACCGTGGACGTGGTACATTCCCAGACGTTTCGCTGGCGTCGTAGTCAACATCATCAGTGAGTCTCGCCATTCTTAGCACCATACAACAACTCGTCAAAAAAGACAAGTGAAGCCGATCCTTTGACCAAATGTGTGCTAAACAATTGTGGTATCACCCGTTCTGCCCTTTTTTAATTGTTGCAAACATTATGGCATCGCTCCCCGATTCTGCAATCTAATGAGGAAGTGTTCTTCGGACACGGTGAATGAAGTTCTTTATCAAGCTTCCATGCAGAAATTAAAGGAAAGGTATTAGAT